CTTAGAGTACTGGGGAGTTCAATGACTTGACTAGGGACACACAGTCACTGTGTGTCAGAAGTGGGACTCAAAGCTAGGTCTTCCTTGCTCTGATATCTCTTCTTCACCCACCATGCCACGCTGCTTCTCATGAGGTTAAGTGACTTGTCCGAAGTCACGCAGTTGGTGACCCTGCAGAAGTCACTTATCCCTTCAACCCAACAAGCAATTCTCCGCGACTGAGTCTGAACGGCAGGGAAGGTGCCTGCGTACGCTGGCAGCAGGACTTTCCTCACCGGGGAGTTCCTTGAACCAGTGCAATCGCAGGGGCAGCCCCTCCCCCTTTTTATAAGATCCAGAGCTGGGAAGGACCTTAGTCCATTTGGAAATCACTTTATTTGCTTGCTGTTTCTCTGTCTTAGAAAATGACAATAGCAAGTTCTTAGAATCTGTGATTTCACCAATGCAGGTGCTCCTTCCATCAGCCCAGACCACAAGCCCTTTTGTAGGTGGTTTCATATTTGTTGAATCTGAATGGAATGATACTGTATTATCCTCTGGCCCACCTGGTGATGACCCTCTCCATGCTGAACCAAGCTGGGCCCCAGTCACACAGTCTGCTACCAGACCCATCAGATCATAGCATTAGAACCGGAAGAAACCTTCAAGTCTAATGCCCCATCTGTCAGCTGAGGAAACTGAGACCCAGACAAGTTGAATCACTCACTCAAGGTCACCCAGATAGTAAGTGGCAGGAGCTAGGATTTGAACCCAGGTCCTCTGATTCCAAATTCAATGTTCTTTCTCCTGTGCCATGTTATATACTCAAAGCCTTCCTAACTTTGGTTATGTATTAGACTAGGTGACTGCTTTCAATTTGAAGAAGTCCTGTGGTTCTTAGATTCAACTCCATAGGACTAGGGCTTCCTCACCACATTGAGGTATTTGAGCTTTCTAATTATTTAGGCTCTGAATAAATGGGAATATCCTCAACACACCAGGAAATGCTGCTATAAAATTCCTTGTCGTGCCAAGGATTTGATTAGATTTTGGATTGAATCTCTGTGGAATGCTTCTCTCTCTTTGGTAAAGTCCTCTGCAATCAAAGGTTTCAACAGGTAGAAATATTGACTGAGCTACAATCCCTGCTGCAAAATTCAAGGCTGCGTAATTTTTAAAAAAATCTTTTTTTAAAAATTCTAACTGATTTATTGACTAGGCTTAATGACTGTAATTGTGGAAGAATACTTTTAGTTTTAAAAATAGGGTTGATAGTAGAAGTAAACAGGTCTGTAATCGATTTCCCAATGGCTCTTCCTTTAGAATTTGGCACATATGAGACATATGCACCCCAGGCTGCCCAGCCCCCATTAGGCTACATGGGATACCTCTACCAAAGCTGACACAGACAGTTGGGCCTTTCCATGAGCCCTCCTATCTGTATTACCTTCCCCCCATGACAGGATGTGCTCTTTGAAAGCAGGGTCTATCTTCATGTGTTATTGGTATCCTTAATGCTTAGAATATAGTAAGCACTTAAGAAATGTTTTTTTAAAAATTCCTTCATGTGCATAGTTATTCTGTGCACTTAATATAAGACCTGTGCTCAAGTCATGGGCCCACCACCAGCTGGTGGTCTCCTAGTCAGACGCTGTAAGACCCTGACAGCATGTTCTAGCAGACTGGTTCAGTCACCAGTCACCAGTTCAGTCCCTTAGAAACTGAGTAACATGCCTAAAGGTCTTTGGAGGTCTTTGACAGTCATGGGAGTATGTTATTTCACAAAGGTGTTCACCTTCTGGAAGTCTGTCTAGGAATGGGGGGGATAGAGGCTCTGACCTACAAATTCCACCGGTCTGGGAATTGAAGGTGAATTTGTTCCCACTTGGTATAGAGCCAATGTTGTGATTGTGAGTCACATTTCATTTGGGATTGCGAGAGTAAACGAGAACACTACTCAGATCAACTATGAAATATAGGTCCAGCAAATCCCAGGACATGTCATTCAGAAAATATCAAAGACTGATCCATGGGCCAAATGACTTCACCATTTATACACAGTGCTGGGGAAGTGCTTATCTGTTTCCAGATAAGGCTGTAGCCTCCCCCTCCCCTCTCTCCCTCCCAATTTAACTTGGTATAAATGGTTGGCATGTGAAGTTGGTTCAAGAGGTCTGGGATTGGGAAGAAGGCAATTTTAGATCCTAATAGTGCTGAGGTCCTGGGCATCCTTAGAGAGGCAGAGCTCTCTCTCCTTCTCCCCATTCCCAGGGGGTCTTAAAAAGGCATCATTTAGGCGGAATACCTAAAAAAATCTGGATTTTAGGTTCTTTGTCATAAAGTCACAGAAATACTAGGCCTCCGATTCAGTATGGACTGCAGTGATTGGGCATCCCTGTGATGATATAATCACATGATCAGGACAATGGGAGAGTATCTCAGACAGAACTGAATGGCAATCCTGAGATTGACCCAGAAAGTCCTGCTTAGTCTTTCTCAGCAGTGCCATCAGCCCCTCTATGGTGTGGCCATTGGCAGGCCCTGAAGCCCTTGGCCCTAGTCCAGCCACTCAATTCTAGAACTATAGAAAGAGGAGGAAAATTTGGCAAAGTCAAAGCTTCCTATCTTCCCACGGCATCTAATAAGAGGTCTAGGCAAACAGGAATGGGATTACAGGATTTACCATTGGAAGATATTGTCTATTCTACCCCCCCTTTTATAAATGTGGAAACTGAGGAGCTAAGTGACTTACCTAAGACCATTTGGTTAGGAGGCAGCAGAGTCAGGATCCAAACCTGGGCCCCCATCCAGAGCTCTTTCTATTATCTGTGCTGCTATGACTAGCTCACAAGATCCACCCAGCTAGGAAGGCTTCCGCCAGTGACCTCAGCCAAATGCGGCTGGATTCTTTTTCACTTGCTATATTGCAGCAGGCTGCATAGGAGTCCAGGGAATGAGAACGCAAGTCACAAATCAAGCGGGAATGGGGTGCCTGTTTGCTTGGGTGGGGTGGTTGAACGTCACTAGCAGCTTTAGTGGAGAATAGAACAAAAATGATAATAAAAACAATAATAGTAGCTAACATTTGTTCAGCACTTTCAGGTGTGCAAGGTACCTTATATAGGATCTCACATCTGATCTTCACAATAAACTTGGGAGATCACTGCTATTATTATTATTTCTGTTTTTCAGATGAGGAAAATAAGGCATAGAGAGGTAAAATGGCTTGTCTAGAATAACATGGCCAGTATACTGAGGCAAGATTTGAACCTGAATCTTCCTGACTCCAAGGCCAATGCTCTAGCTACTCTGCCACCTAGTTGCCTGGCCATGAGATCCTTGGTGTTTAGGGGCTTGCAAGTTTCCCAGCACAGCACTTTTGATTGGGTATCCTGACAGATATCCTGGCACCCCTCCTACTTATAGCACAGACACAGATCGGCAGAGTGTTGCTTATTCAATGGAATCCAATCAGCTCCTGCTTGAATAGACTCGGTCACTGACAGGGGTACTAGAAAGCTTGGGGGTTGAGAGGGGAAAGGGTAGCTTGGGCAGGAGATCATTAATGGTGCTACCAGGATGCTCCTGGCCTCAAGTTCAGTCCCCTCTCAGCACTTAAGACACAATCACTTTCAATAAGGATTGGGCCACCTTGTTTTGCACCAATTCATCCAATATGGCTTTACCATATTTTTTCCTAGAATTAGTTGGACAAGGTGACCTTGTACCCACCCCTCTACCCTTCAACTCCCCAGGTTCTGGGTGAGCAGCTAGAAGGCACTGAGATATTTCAGGGTCTTGCTTCACCCACTGGACCTTCTGATTGGCTGCCTTTTGCCCCTGTTGAAGACGTGTCTGAACTACATGAGAATGTCCAGGTAGCTGCTTAGAAAGGCAGCAGCAGAGAGCTACTCATTCTCCAAGCACAACCCTGGCTGTGTTTTTTTGACATCCATAGCTGCTTACCTGGAAACAGTGCCTGTTCATTGTTCTAACAGCATCATGCAGTGTTCAGAGGCTGGAGAATTCTGCCTGCCTCAGCGCTGGGAGAATCTCACTGAGGGCTCTCTGAAAAATGGATGGGGGAAAGTAGGCAACACCTGGTTCCACCTCCATGCAAGGCCCTTAACAAGCTAGAGAATGCTCAGATCTCCATGGGAATAGAGAACAAAGAACAGAGCCGAGCGGAAATCCCTAGACGATTTTTTAGAAGCCTAACGTAATTCTTCTTATTTTTACATTTTCCCCAGAGCAACTAACAAGGAACAAAGTGGACAGATGCAAGATTTATTTCCTTTCATTTCCCTTGTCTCCCCTCTGGAGGAGGACTAATAAATGGGAGAATGGTGCAAAGATAGGCAGAGAGGGAAGAAAGAAAGGCCTGGATCAGTCCACCAACCATCCGATCATACAAATAAATTACAACATGAGAGGCAATATAGTGTAGTGGACAGAAAGCTGGCCTTCAGGCCAGGAAGACCTGGGTGCTAATCCTGCCTCTGACATGGGCTGGATCTCTGACCCTGAGCAAATCACTTGACCTTTTAGTGTCCTGGCTACTCTAAATTGCAGAGGGAGTATCATTCACATTGGTAGAGAAAATTCTTGAGCAGTTGCAGACAAGGTACCAATCTGCATGGGCAGAGGGGATTCCTCACCAGAAACTCCCTATGACAGAGCTGGTTAAAAGAAGAAAAATAACTATAACTGACATTTATATGGTTCTTTAACATTTGCAAAGTGATTTGCACACTATTTTTTTTTACTATATCATCATAAGAACCCAGTAAAATAAATGTTCTTGATATTATTATATATTGATAGAATGCAAGCTCTTTGAGGTCATGGACTATTTAATTTTTGTCTTTGCTTTCCCAGGATTTAGCACTACACTTGGTATTTATGGTCTTAAATGCTTAATAGTTTGTGGATTCCCATTGGACAAGTGAGAAAATTGAGGCCCAGTGAAACTGACTTGCTTATGGTCACATGACTATTAAATGTCAGAAGTGGGGGTTTGAACTCAGGTTCTCCTTATTCCAGTCCAGTATTCAATCCACTCCAGTATTCTATTCACTCCAAGAATTCACTAAGGCAATCACATTGTAATCATACAGGCAAGAACAGATCATTTCTACTTGCTTCAATAGGAATCTCTGAGCTGCAGAGATGAAGTCATTGTGAAGCTCAGAGATGCAGCCCAGGCTTTCTCAAAACCTTTCTCATCACAGACTTGCTTGGACTGGAAGATTGCATCACTGTCACTCTCCAGCAGCCAATAATGCCAAATGTTGCCACAGTACATGGACGGCCATGGGGAGGGATCATTCAGACATTACACCTAGCTTCCATGGCTACTGTCCACGAATCAGGGAACAAAGCATGGGGACATCATCAGATAAGAAAAGGGACTTTATATCGGCAAGCTACCTTGTGGTGTGATGCGATGAAATCTCCGAAATGGAACGGAGTCAAATATAACCAAACATCTCATCACAGATTAGACTCTCAGAAAAACGCTGACCCCTTACCACACAGGGAAAATGCCAAGTGCTGCTACAAGACAGGAGATGCCCAGGGAGGGATGCAGACACAGATGCTTTTCCCCTAGCTGCTTCTGTGTGTACCCAGAAAGCCCAGCTTTGTGTATCAGGAAAGGGACACAGAAAAACAATTAATCAAGGGCATTTCTCCTCAGGAAACCTAGACAATTCAACCTCACGCTTCCACTCTTGGAAGCATAAAAGTAGGTGAGGTTTATTGAATCTATTGGCCCTGGTCACAATCCTCTGTCTTAGATAATCTTGGTAACAGCATTGCTGCCCACTGAATGGCAGGCAGCTCAAAGTGAGTTGGTGCTTTCCATCATCTCAGTGCTGAACCGGACAACTGCTTTCTGCTTTGCCATGTCTGACTGAGGATAACGCAGCCATTTCTGCTCCATGACCCAGGGGCTTAGTAAAGTTTGAACCACCCTCTGCAAATGATCAAGTGTTGCATAAGGCTCCAAAACAATGGCCAGGCTAAGAACTACCAGCAGAAGACTCTAGAGTTTTTCTTCATTAAATTTCCCTGCTGTGGGCTGTCCTACAAAGCTACAATGGATACAGCACAGCCTCCCCACCATGATCTCTGCTGCTTTTCCATGTCAGTGTTGACTCAGTGGTTCTCATCCCCGGCCATGGTATTGACAAGGTTGTTCAACCCTACTTTATAGAGAAAGAAATTAGATCCCAAAGAAGGTTCATAGGATTATAAATAGAGAAGTAAACTTAGAAGTAGACTAATCTTACAAATGTGGACGTTGAGGTCCGTAGAAGCTAATACATATGCCCAAGGCCATACATCAGTGAGTGGTAGTGTCAAGACAAGTGTATAGGGGTTTTTGTTGCTGTTTAGTCCCCTTTCTATTCCATTATTTAACCACAAAAATAATGATAATGACAATATCTAGATGTCTCTCATTTCTACCATATTCCTCTCAAAACTAACTACAGGTCAAATTTAGCTCAAGCCAGGAAAAGAGTTGGCCACACAGTAACTGCTCCATAAATGCTTATGGAATGGAGGGGAATGGAATGAAATTGGAGGAGGGGAATGGAGTAGAATGGACAAGGTGGGCTTGGACTGGAATGTGATTGAATGAAATGGAACAGAATTGATGAAGGCTGGTGAAATGTCATAGAACTATGGGCTCTGAATAAATGGAGGGAGCTGCCCAGCAGAGTTGTTGCCTGGCACCTTCCCCCACTCTAATCTGAGTATAGAGTGTGTTCTTCTCTGGCTCTGTTAATCAGCATAATAGTGAGTCACAGAAGAGACAACAAAGTGGGATGTTTGACTCAAAGCTAGTCTCTTTGCGTAATTAATCAGCATTCCCAAGAAAGAGGGAGGCATGTTTTAAGATAGAACTCCCTTTGTGCTTTTTAATGTATTCTACAAATGCTGGGACTCTCAGAAGGTGCCTACCGCAGGATTTCTCTTGAGCAATCTTGTCCAAGAGAGCACTGGGTGAGGAATGTGAAAACCAGGATTTTGATATCTTGCTCTGCCAATAACATGCACTGGATGTTTGGAGAGGGGGGTAAGGGTTGGGAAGGGGTGGGGACTAAACTTATTTTGAATCCTAGATGTTGAAGGGACCAAAGAAAATTTCTAGTCAAATCTCCTCATTTAAGAGTCCAGAATGAGGCGATATAAGAATTCCAAGGTTACCAATTAATGTGTCTGAGCTCACTTTCTCCATCTGTAAAATCAATCAGCTAAAAAGCATTTATTCAATTCCCATTTTGCACCATATATTATGATAGGCAATGGAGATATAGAAACAAAAATGAAATGGACCTGGCCCTCAAGGGGCTTTCATTCTGTCACTAAGTTAAGGATAATGGCTGCTCCTTCTCTACCAGGTGAATATTAAAAGCCTAATTAGTGAAATAGTATATGGAAATATGTTGAGGTCTTTAGAAGAGAGACCCCATGTAAATTCACCATATTATTATGGCTGTATTGTAATTATGTGTAGCAGAGTATGGTATTCATGATTAATAATAAATAAGTTCAGATTCCCCAGATCTAGGGAGCTTGAAGTAGTACATTAAATAATCATTTCCCTTACATTTCCAAAACCATTTTGGATCCATCTCAATCCCCTTGAATCCAGGAAAGTATCCATCATGCTCAGAGCCCTTTGGGAAGGGCAGAGGATCCCAGTTACATTATTGGGACCTAGAGGAGGGAGAAATTGTTTTGGATTGAGCCTCTCCTCACATCACTTATTGGCCTTGGCAATACTCAAAGATGATCCATTAAGTTCTACAAGGAGTATAACTGATGTTGTTGGAAGGAGTAGAACACCAGTAAAAATCGGTGACCAGTGAAGTATTGGACTACACACAAAATGAGTCTCTGATCATTTTCATTCTCTCTGTGCACAAATGATGACATACCTACACATATTCACACTGCCCTTCTTGCTGTGTTCTCAACACTGCCTGACGATGCACAAAAAGTTCCAGAATTTAATTTCTTAGTAAGTAAAACATGAACCCTAACCCTAATCCTTGCCAACTCCCTGAAATTTCCCAAAGCTCAAAACCTATTTTTCTATGCTGTCTGGCCAGTTTTTCACTAGCCCCGTCATAGGATCACAGAGTTAGAGCTGGAGGGATTTGAGAGGCCTTTGAATCTAGCAGTGTCAACTCCGGATCCCGAGGTGGTTACAGAACAGCTGGTAATCAATGGACCCATCAGGAGTCATTGAGCACCTGCTGCGTGCTCAGTCCTGGGCTGCACACTGGAAAGGAGCCAACAGCTAGAGGCAAGGATGACAGGAAGATGGGTCGCTCACGGAGACGTTCATGAGTCTGTACTCTGGGTTGGAAAGAGAAAAATTGTTGGAAATAATCAGAGATGGGCCACTCCAGCTTGAAAATTCAGTAGAAGAGGATTTTTTACTGCTCGAAAAGAAATTTAATAAAAAACAAAACAAAACATGGTGTGAGCCACTGATGAGCTTTATCATTATAACGAGTAGAATGGAAAGAACTTTGGATTTGGAGTCAAAAGACCTGGATTCAAATCCTGGCTCTGCATCTAGGTGGGTGACCCTTGGGCAAGTGGGAGGCAGCATGGATTCCTAAGACCTAAGTTCTTGGTTCTCTCACTTACTACTTGTGTGACCTTGAACAAGTCACCTAGCCTCTCAGTGCCTCAGTTTCTTCATCTGTAAAATGAGGGGGTTAGGCTAGATGATCTGGATCTAGTAATTTTCTCTTTTGGGCCTCACTTTCCACATCTGAAAAATTAGAGGGAGGAAGGTTGAACTTGTCCCTAAAGTTCCTTCTGATTCTGAATCTATGACCTCTCAGTCTCTCTGGAGCTGACTGGCTGGCTCATTCACAAAGCTACTGAAACAATCTTTCCTCTCTTTGGGGCTTATTTTAGGTTTTTATCCCTGACACAAAAGCAGTAGATCATTTTCCAGGCAGGTTGGAAGAGTTTGCCCAGCCAGTGTGTGTGGTAGCAAAGGAATGGATTATTACAATCCATGTGAAATCCCATTATAATAAACTCCACAGGACAGTCATTCATTGCTATAGAATTGTGTTATAATGAATACACTGGCAGAAATCTCATTCCTCCTTTGAGAGGGCTGAGTATGAAAGAAAACGAAAGTTCAAACTCTTTAGTGGGAAAGACAAAGGAGAAGGAGCAACCCTGTGGGAGGGCAAAGGGGAAGCCCTACAGGTGTGCTTGGCCTCCACCCCTTTTCATCCTGACAGCTCCTCCATTGATCTGTGTGAAAAGAGCTTAAACTAAATAAAACAAAGGATTTGAAATTCAATTGAATAAACATTTAAGGAGCTGCTAAGTATCTGGGACAGGGCTAAGCACTGGAGATACAAAGACCCTTCAAAGAGCTCATATTCTGTTGGGGAAAATAAAAAGGATTGTAGGAAATGCAAGGAATCCTTTCTTAAAGTCAAGAGGCAGCAGCCTATCCCACGCCATAAAAGAGACTAATCCAAGTCTCAGCCATGGAAGTGTTCAAGTGGAGGAGAGATGACCATGAGTCCGGGAAGCTGCGGAGAGGATTTCTGATTGGGAAATCAGACTACATGGCCTCCAAGATCCTTCCAACTCAATCATTCCACTATTCTTTCAAGGCCTGGCCAACACACTAGTCACTGTTCAAATCGTTAATTTCTCAATGCTGTTCAAGAAGAGTCACTTTTAGGTGCTTGGCTTTTTCCAGAAGTAGGATCTTTATTTCCCCTGATAACTACAAATGTTTCCCAGAAGCTTCCTTAGAATTTTATTTCATCTGTTCTGACTATACATCCATATATTCTGTTTGGACATCACCTCCTCTGACTATGCTTTTTATATGCAGCCAAGTCTTCCTTGGGGCACATAATGAATCCCCTGAAGTGGTGGCTGCATTGTTTGAATTCGCACTGCGTGTTTCTTCAGGGCCAGAAGCAACGACCATATTTTACACAATTATGACTTCAAACAGAGTGAATTACAATACATGCAACCACTTCTTGGGGTTCACGATTCCTATGAATCAGGACCTAGCTGTTTATAGCATGCTAGACCCTGGCTCACTCTCTCAGAGCCAGGGATGCTCTATGGTTTCTTAGGGTCCTAGGATGTCCTGAGGAGGTTGTGACATTCCCTTTTTGTTATTGCCTTTGGCTCCCGCCTCTGCCAGTTTGTGTTTCTTCTCATCCTTAGGGCCAATGACTATGCCCCCTTTTCATTTAAACACTTTAACCCCTCTTACAAAGGGATATTTACTTTTAAAATAGAGATAGAACAAATAAGCATTTTCCCCAATACCACAAGAGCACCCCAACTCTCCACTACACCACCTTCGTCTCTGGGGAAAATAAGCTCAGATTAGCTCAATTCCTTACACAACTTTGACCCTACCAGGTTCATGTCCACATCCAACATGATTGACAGATGTGTTCTCACTGTACCTACCACTGGACTAGACCGCCAAAGGTCACTTCCAAAGGTCACTCCTGGCTCCTTGAGACATCGGCGCTGTCTTTATTCTAGAACTCAGACTTTTGGAACTTTCAGAGGGCTCGTTCCCTCCACCTAGAAGGGAAGAGAACAAATCCAGAGGCCAAGGACTAATGCCTTTCACCAAGCCATGGGACCTTAGAGGGGAGCTTCTCCCCTACAGCATTGGCTCTCGCTAGCAAAGGAGTCATCCAATGAGGGCAAGAGTAATGGCGGAGGCTGATTCAGGCCTTTTTGAAGATGCCTCTGCTTTGGGCTACCAGCCAATCAAGAAAGGCTATGTAGTCAACAGACTGAGACCAGGACAGAATGTCTCTATAGACGCCAGTCTTTCTCTGAAGCCAGGGATCCAACTAAATGGCTCCTGATTTCCCTAGGATCCTATGATGAAGTCACAACTTCTCTGGGGCTCAGTTTCTTCATCTGTAAAATGGACTAGATGGCCTCTGAGATCCTTTCCAGCTCTAAAAATCTATGATCCTAGGATGCTGTGACTTAAATCTGAATCCCACCTCTCTTTGGCTTCCTTCAAGACTCAGGTCAAACACTACCTTCTACCTGTCCCAGGGACTAATGCCTTCTCTCTAAGATGACTTTGTGCTCTTAACAGGATTTTACTGAGCCAGTCTCTAACCTGAGAACAATGAAACAGCAGGCCAGAGACAAAGCGCCAGTAATCAGGTAGCCGTTTAATTGACTAGTTTCATTATGGGGAACAGATTTGCAAATCAGGAATTCTCCTGATCAGCATTCCACCTTGCTGAAGTGAAGACAGAGATTATATACATAAATCACAAGGGAGGGGGGAAGGTGGATTACAAACAATTGTTCCCAAGGCCAGAGTGGTTTCCCATGACAAGACCACAAATGGAAGACAATACAATTCTGGAGTCCTATGGGAGCAATATTTCTTGAGTCCTTGGGGGTCATTACTGGGGCCATCGCAGGACCAGAGTTCTGTGACAGGAACAGGGTCTACAATCTTTGATTGGCTTCCCTTCAGGTACCGAGGCAGAAGGATGCCAGTGATGGTAAGCTTTGTCAAAATCTGGTCATTTCAACATGCATTGTGAATCTGCCTCACAAAAGAGGCAATTTTGAAAAATCTAATCCATTAGTATATTCGTTGCACATATCATATCGATTATTATAAAAACCAGAATTCCCTTCACAGTACATATATTGCATATACCTACATAAAGGCTTGCTGGCTCCCCTATTAAAATGTAAGCCCCTTCAGGGCAAGGATTTTTTTTTTTCTTTGTATCCTCAGTGCCTGGCTCATAGTCATCTCTCAATAAATATTTGTTTTCTACATTACTCACAGGGTGACTTCTGACAAATCATTCCACTTTGTGGGGAGGGTGGGTCTTAACTTCCTCATATTGGAAACAAGGAGTTTGGAACAAATTATCTGTGAGGTGCCCCCCAGCTTCAGTGAGTGACAATAAAGGGGGAGGGGAAGAGAGAAGAAAGAGTCAGACAGCAGACTACTAGTACATTATGCAGCTAGATTCTGGTTAAAAAAAAACAAAACAAAACAGTTTTTAGATCAGTTTCCAGCTGCCTACTGTTTGAAGTTTAGTGGATTGTGTCTTGATTTGAATCTTTTGTGATTATACCACTGGACAGTATGAGATGGCAGGTTAATTAAGAGAAGTGAAGCATCTGCTATTGAGGAGAGGCTCAGACCACACCCAGACCTACTTTTTTGTTGTTTGCTTCTGAGTGGCAGATTTTAAGAATGACTCGGGTTAGTTTCCCTACCTGCTAAATGAAGGGGATGGATTCCATCACTTCTAAGCCCTCTTCCAACTTCCTACGATCCTAAAAAAGCTAGAGAGCATTTACAGGGGAACCACTGAGGTGGCAAAGGGCTTTGAGGATTAGGTGAAAGAATTCAGGTTGTTTCACCTGGAGAAGAGAAAATTCAAGAGGGGATATGATAATTGATCTTGAATTAGTCCACCATGTTGTTGTCCGGTTGTTTCAGTCATGTCCAATTCTCTGTGACCCCATTTGGGGTTTTGTTGGCAGAGATACTGGAATGGTTTGCCATCTCCTTCTACAGCTCATTACAGATGAGGAAACTGAGACAAAGTGACTTGCCCAGGGTCACACAGATGGTTAAGTAGCTGAGGCTGCATTTGATCTCATGAAGAGGAGTCTTCCTGACTCCAGGCCTGGCACTCTATCCACTGCACCGCCTAGCTGCCCCCACATGAATCTGTATGATTCCATAATGCACAAGAGCAATTGGATTTGTTCTTTGGGCCTCAGAGGACAGAATTAGAGCAGTGGGCGTTGGGTACATAGAGGCAGAAACCTTCCTAATGATCAGCGCTGTCCAAAAGTGGGCTACCCCTCCCTGGAGATTTCCAAGCAGAGGCTGAATGACTCCTTGTCAGAGACGCTGCAGGGGTCATTCTTGGTCAGGTGTGTGTTGGATTAGATGGCCTTGAGGTCCCTTCTGACTGTGGTTCTGGGAATGTGTGAAGGTTAGATGCCTGCCCTGTGAGTCTTCTGGCTGGAAAAGCCAGTGCAAGCTCATGAGGCTGAATGCATTTTGTGCATCGAATTTTTCATCGACTTGCTAGTGCCTTCAGATTAGAAAGGAATAATGATTGGTGCCACAAGGTGACCAAAGTCCTCCTTCATCACTTCCAGGGTTAGTTTTGCTCTTTGTCCCTGAAGCAAGCCCATCAGGAGAGGGTTGATGGAGGGTGACCTAGGGGGCGGGGCCCCTTCCCCAGGCCATCCACTTTACTTCCAAGGTCATTTCAAGCCTGCAGGTAGGGCCCTCCCCTGAGGGGCAGAAGCTGAGAAAACAGTGCTCAGTGACCTGCAAAATCCACTGACAGAAGGCTCAAGATGGGCTGAGACTTCAATCTGTAGGCCTGCCTCGCTAGCCCTTGGTTTATCGAAAGCCGTCATCGACCCCGGTGTTTGCTATTTCTGCCGGTTCCTGACTCAGATTTGTGGTAGAGCCTTGAAATGGCCTCGCTTGTGATGCCTTGGGTTCAACAGAAAAAGAATGGGAGAAAACACGGAACTTACGAGAGGTCTGGGAATCATGGGGCGTCCTCGGGGAGGGGGCCCCCAGCCCCCTCGCCCTGAAGGACACAGGCCTGGGCAGAATCATTTTCCCCATAGCGAGGGGGCTCCTGCTGGAGCTGAAATCTCCCAAGTTTCCTATTCTACATATATCCTTGCAGGAAAAGGAAGGACCCTTCCTCCTACATTCCTTCTCCTTACGGTGGGATAGGTAGTGGCCCTATTAATGTTTCTCCTTTGGGGACACAGTACCTTTTGTTCCACAGAACACGCACTGCTAAGTGGCATCCATAGAGTACTTCAAGGTTGACACAGCACTTCACAACAGCCTTGGGAGGCAGGTGCTATTATGCCTATTTTATGGATGGGAAACTGAGGCAAGCAGCCGTTAAATGACTTGCCCAAGATCATACTGCTACTTAAGGGTCTGAAACAGGATATGAACTCAGATCTCACTGACCCCAAGTAAGAACTCTATCCTCTGCATCACCTGGACCCTGGTTAATAGTAACTAGCATTTACATGGAGATTTAAGGTTTGCTGAGTGTTTTACACTTGTCTGATTTGATTTTCACAGTTCTAAGAGGTAAGTGTTATTAGCTGTTTTACACAGAAATAAACTGAAGCAAAGTGACAGGTTAAGTGACTTACCCAGGGTCACACAACTAGTGTCTGAGGTATGATTTGAATTCAGGTCTTCCTGACTTTAAATCAGGTGCCCTATCTTAGAGAGGCCCTCTTTTTTTGTTTTGCTTTTGGCTAGGCAATGGGGTGAAGTGACTTGCCCAGCACTCACACAGCTAGGAAGCATTATGTGTCTGAGGCCGGATTTGAACTCAGGTCCTCCTAAATCCGGGGCTGGTGCTCTATCCACTGTACCACCTCGCTGCCCCGGGTATTCTATCTTAGCTGAGATGTTATTTGATTTAAATGACAGACACAGACCCTTTAGATTTACTAAGGGAGCTAGGACACCTTCTGAAGCTTGTTTTACATAAAGCTTTTGATAGAAGAGGGTGCTGTCTGGAACTGCTTCTTACTGACTGTGTGATCTTGGGAAAGTCACTTCTATCTGGTCTCCAATTCCTCCTTTACAAAAAGAAGAGGCTGCTAGCTGATCTCTAAAGCCCCTTTCAGCTCTAAATTCTATGGACTCCTCCCCTACAGTCTTCCTTTTCCTTCCAGTCCATCACCTCTGCAGTTGCCAAACTGGTATTCCTATAGCGTGGCTCTAAGGCCTATTACCTCCCTTCTCAAAAAAAAGTTTCTATGGCTCCCTATTACCTCTTGAATGAAATCCCAGCTCCTCTATTGGACATTGGAATCCTTTCACCATATGGTTCCAGCTTATCTGTCTAGACGTATTATACACTCTCTTTCACGTGGTCTGTGCAAACAGATTTGCCTACTCTTCTCTGTTCATAATCTCGGGTCTCCATGTTTACCTACAAATGGACCCCCTATCAGGAATGACTCTCCTCCTCCTCCTGCCTCTTAAAACCCCACTTCCTTCAAAGCTACCGTTTTACTTTGGACATATTTTATATTTATTTAGATGTGTATGTCTCATTCCTGTCTCTCACCCCAACAGTATATAAGTTCTTTGAGGACGGGGAATGTTTCATTTCTTATCTTTGATGCCTAGAACTTAGCACGGTGCCTGGCACATGGTAAGCATTTAATCAATGTCTGTTGAATGAACTAATACATGGATGGATGGATAGATGGATGGACAGATGAGTGAGCGCATGAGTTAATCACACTTGGGGACATCGTTGTTGGGAAGAATTGTTTTCTGTGGGGCTATTACTCCACTAGCAAAGATCACATCACAATTAACCCGTGATTAACCATATTAACGGAAGGCAGGTTTTTGAAGGGAGGTGAAGGCTAAGCACGTTGCAGGGTAAACCTCAAACAGTAGATAGAACCAAATGTCATTCATACTGCACTTTGAAATGTATTATGTAATCTGACATGCAGTAATCCTTCTTAGTTATATTTACTTAAGTTTAATGTCA